TCGAGCTCCTCTCGTGTGACAGAGCTCCTCACCCTATCTCTAAGGGGGCGCTCTGCCACCCTGCGGAGAAAGCTCATTTCAGCAGCTTGTATCCGGGATCTCGTTCTTTCGGTCATGACCCAGAGCTCATGACCATAGGTGAGGGTAGGAATGTAGATCGACCGGTAAATCGAGAGCTTCGCCTTTCGGCTCAGCTCCTTCTTCACCACAACGGACCGATACAGTATTGTATTGTCACCATCCCATAAATTTATTAAGAAAGTCTGGTTCCATCATTCTGATGTAAGGCGTTAAAACAAATTTAACACAGGAACTGGCAAGCTGTGCGAAAAATATACCAAGAGGCGGCTTTATTCATATTCGCCGGTTGTTCACCTAATTTGGATCGTGCCATAGGGGAGTGAAATAGGCACAAATTTACAGAAGGTGAGTTCCGACTTCTGGAGAAAATCGAGTCAGATCACGGCACAGAAACGCAATTCCGATGTATCTAGAGGACTGATATTTACAAAGAAGGTACGAGATCACCTGCATAGTGTATGAAGAGTATAATTGTAACTTTATGAAGAGAGAAACATATACCTCCCTGCTACAATTGACCACAAGCAGCAACTCTTATTTTCTTTAGTGAATACCACTTATATGCTAGCTGCCATTTACGCTGATTAAAAATAATATAAAATAAATTTAACAACCCCAAAAGACTGAAAAGAAATCAAAGCTTGTAGAAAATGTTGCCCTTACAGTAGAAAAGACACCTGACAAAACTTTGAAGCAATGAAGGGCATTTGGAATTAAAGTGAAATGACAAACCGGTGAAATGAAAACTTCTGTAGTGCAGCAGAAAAACAAAAACAAACAAAAAAAAAAACTGTCAGCAATACCAGTTCTTCTCTGAACTCTCTTCATATCTTCATGCTCTGGGAGGTTTGAGGAACTTCTCAGTGTGACGTTTCGCTATCACCTCACCTGGATGGATGAAAAGGGAAGCGACAAAGCTGTATCTGATAACCACAACTACAGCCACTGACATTGGTGCAAGTCATGGTATTCAAAGAATCCATGATAAATTTACTCAAAAGAAACTGAACTTTCCGTTGTGGACAATCACTTTTTGATCTCATCCAATCAGATTGCGCCTTTTCCTGCATTAATCGGATCTTTCCTTCTTTATTTTTGTGTCACCCAATCAGATTGATCATTTCTCTCATTCAACGAGATGACGAGATGTTTTCCCATCCAATCAAACTCCTCCTTTTCTCCTTTTTTAAAAAATAAGATTGCTGCCTTTTGTCCTCCAATCAAATAGCTTGTTTTTATAATCCAATCAGATCCCTATTTTTTCTTATTCAATCAGATGGCTCCACTTTCTTATCAATCAAATTGTTCCTTTTTCTCCACAAATCAGATCACTCCTTTATAATCAAATCACATTGTTCTTTTTCCTCGTGTGTTCAGATTGCCTATTGTCTGCCAATTAGTTCCTTATTTTTTTAATTCCAAACAAACTGTTCCTTTTCTTCTCATCCTGTCAGATCACTCTTTTTCTTTTCCCATCATGCGCTTAGTCTCATTGAATTAGCGCACTGATCTCTGCTTTTTCTTCCTTGATTATATCCAATTATACTCAAATTACATTGCTCTTTTTTATTTAATCAGAATGCTGCTCTTTCTCCACCAATCAGATTGCAGTTTTAGTTCCACTTGCCCTATTAAATCCCTCAAGTTTCTTCTTTGATTCATCTAACTATATAGCCATTAGGACTATATAGGAATACTATATACTATATGGGAAATTAATCTAATAAATCCAATTTTTAGTATTCTTTTTATTTGTACCACATTAAGATAAATGTACTGACTATTGTGAGGAGTGAGCTCAACAATATCTTATTTCCAAAAGAGGGCACTACTCAAGAGACTTGTAAAAACCTGATTTAACGAATATAGATACTATTGAAATCTTCTATTGCCCAACATTATATTCTGTGAGGCTACAAAAAATATGATGAAAAAAAAGAAGAAAAACCTTAATAAATTGAATGCTGTACCTGCATCGTGTTTGAGCACCAACACCTTGCACTCTCTCTTAGCTATTTTGTCTGCTGTAATAATGTTGTGGTCAGAGGAAGGGTAGCGGGTTCTGCCCACTAAAGGTACCACAGGAGGCGTGACAGCCGGGCAACCAATCCCACTGCTTAGCCTAGAACAGCCGCAGATGAACATGCGTTAGACAAAGATGGTTAGGCTGCTGTGTGGCACGGGGTTAGTAAAATGGAAATTATGCATTAATTATGTGATAATATTGACATAATCAATAAAGACAGATGGGTTTTAGCTGAGACATCATTTCACTCTTTGCTTACATATGGCCCTTTTTAAGCCGAAGTGCTCATATCTTGAATCATTTTTCCCCATAAGAAATACCAGAAAAAAAATTATTCCATTCCGGCCCTCTAAAAAACTCCCTTATTAGTACTAATAACAAAAGGAAAAGAGGTTCTTAACCTGGGTTCGATCGAACCCCAGGGGTTAAGTGAGTCAGTCTTAGGGGTTCGGCGGAGGACAAGACACACACCAGACGCATATGATTCATGATGACACGCCCCCGGTAAATATAAAGCATGCGGGGTTCAGTAGCTCTAACAAGGTTAAGAACCACTGCTATAGAGACATACAGTACACGTACACACACAAAAATTATAGTATATAAGGATTCCTGTGATATAAACTAAATTGTGATTTGTGAGTTCTTACCTTCGAGACAGAGGATACAGTAACGGCTAATGGCAGCATGTAGGGGGGAGGCGGAGGGAGGGAGGAAAGGAGGGAAGAGAGTTGGCCCGTACATAGACTCTTAATTCCGTAGCGTACCTTACACGTACACTACGTAACTTACATGAACTTAGAATTAACTCAACTTATGTTTTTTTTTTTTGTTTTGTTTTTTTTTTTTACTTTTCTATTCAATTCAATTTGTATTCTTTCTTTATCAGGCACCACGCTCATATTTATCGACAATTTCATGCGTTTCTTCTTCTCACTACCATGCTTTCTTAGGACTCATCACTATTATGAAGAACAATGCACAAAACAGAGAGAAAATCACATAGATAACGCTACATACGGAAGCGATGCTCATGATAGTCGCCAAACACGTGAAGCAAACGTGTGCTTGGCCACCTAATGTCGGCGTCTGTAAGTGTGCTCGAACCTTAAATCTTTACTCGTATCTTGAAGCAAAGATTTGATCGAAGGCTTGCTCGTATCTCGAAATACTCGTATGTCGAGACACTCGTATCTTGAGGTTCCACTGTACTCAAGGATGTAGGGAGAGAGTTTTTTTTTAACTGACAGATCTCTATCGTGGGCTTCATTTTCTGTCATTTGTTTACCGTATGTGTATTGTCATGAAATGAAGACAAAGGACTCCACCTCACCTGACTGGTGTTTTGACTGATGGTTGGTGGGAGAAGCTATGAGAGCGTCCAGCACTCTGTCGGTCCAGCAGCTCCCGGGCCACAGGGCTGGGCGATGGGGATCTTTTCTCAGGTGATTGAGGAGGAAGATGTGCAGGAGGAGGAGTAGACATGGAGGCTGTGAACTGCAGCTTCAGTTTCATGTGCTGGCTTAGCTATGAAGTAGGAGAACACAGCAAAGTATTGACCGACTGGTGTGCCAGTGTGCGTACCGGTGTGGGATTCAATAAAATGTAACGTGATAAAGTGTTTGCAGAAAACAATGCAAAAAAAATGTTAATTGTTGCCCGGGCTTACAAAATACACCGAAGATAAACGGAAACATAGAAAGGCAGGAAAAAGTATAGAAAGGTACGAAAGTAGAAGAGAAGAAACAAAAAAGGGATGGAATGAAAAAAAAATGAAAGGACAACAGAAGAAAGAAGGAAAATCAATGAAGGGGATCAAAGGAATAAACAAAACGAGTGAAAAAAGAAAGGAGGGGGAAAGAAAGAAAGAAAAACAAGGGGAGCATAGTAAAGAGGAACTAAAGAAAAAAAAGGAAGGAAAAAAAAAGACAGGAAGTCAGATGGAAGGAGGAGAGGAAGTAGAGAGTGAAAGAGAGCGCGCTGGTAAATGGCCTGTTACCTCAAAGAGTCCAGTTGTGAGGATCTGAAAAGCCACACAGAATGTCAGGATGGAGCCTTTCCTGCATTGCCCCAGGTTGTTAACAGGAGATTGACACAACACCATTGACAACCTGTTGTTCTGTCGCTGAGCTGAACAGCAAGAGAAAACAAAAGAGGCACCGGAGGGAAAAACATGAAAAGTCTGTGGAAGAAATGCTTCCCACATTCTGTTTGAACACCTAAATGCCACATAGGCTACGTAAGAAGCTGACGTCTTGGTTTACAAGCGGGTCACAAATCCCTCCATCCCTCTGACAATGAACAGGGCCAACTGTCAAATTTTAAAACCTCACTGTGGCCCCTGAGCCATAATGCTTGCCCACCCGTGGTATAAAGCCTTATAACGCATATTCAAGCCCCAAATATTGTATATACAGTTGTGTGTTGCACAATAGATGCAACAGAGTTATAATTGATTTCTTTAAAAAGCACCAAAAGGACCAGCAGAGACATGTTGCAGGAACAGGATTCTAAAAATAATTGTGTTTTTACCGTTCACACTGTGAGATCACAAAAAATGTTCCCAAAAAAAACAAAAGTTAACTCGTAGCCACTTGTTCTGTAGCTCAGCTTTTTACAACACAGTTCAACCAATAAAATATTTGATCAAATTCAAATCATGGTAACATTAAAACAACAAAAAAAGTGAAAAGCTTAGTATTTCAAATCCTATTTTGATTTATTTCATACAGTTCTATAATTGTGTTCTCCCTTTATTTGGATAAAGGAAGTATCAGAAATGAGTATCAAAACTTATCAAAACACATATTATAGTATGTTCTCCCTTTATTTGGAAAAGTATCAGAAATGAGTGATCAAAACTTATCAAAACACATATTAGTAGTGGGATTGATACCAGAATGTTGGTATCTTGACAACACTTGCTTCTTACCATCAGAGTTCCAGATCAGACGTACACCCAAGAAGTCCTGAAGATCGATCAGCAGGTTTGACCCAGAAAGGCTCCAGAGGTCTGACGGCTCTCGGGCAGGAAGCTGTCATCACCAGCTGAGGACGAGATAAGTGAACGCTAGGCAAGGAGTAACAGCTGCTGATTAAACTGTGGACAAAGGAAAGGGAAAGAAAAAGAGTTAACTCTTTAACTTAACTTTTACTGCTTGAGAAGTGAAGATACACACAAGTTAATCTGTCAATTTGATGCGTTCATTATTACCATAAAGCTACGTTTAATTACTGTAATTCCTGGACAATTGAGCACACCTGAATATAAGCCGCACCCATTCAAAAAAAAAAAAAAAAAAAAGTACATATATAGGCCGTACTTCTCTATAAGACTTCTCTCTACAAGCTATAAGGGGAGACTTAGTTATCTTCTTCTCCAGAGCCAAAGCTAACATTAGCTCTGGGGCTAACTCCCTTCACTTTGTGCTTGACCGCAGCAGAGGTAAACAGAAACAGGGAAGTTGGGGTCTTCATTATCAGCCACTCCGACCACAACAGAACATAAACAATATTTTAACATTGCTCCTGTATAACCAACTCACTCTTCAACATGACAGGGCTCAAACTGCTCTCAACTTTCGCTACCGCTCTCACTCTCTCTCGCATATGCACACACAGCCATGCACAGACAGACATACACTACTAGTATAACACAGTAGTCTACCAGAAAAGTCATTGATCGCTAGCGGTATGAACTTCGTTAGCCCGTAAAAATCCATAAATTAGTCGCATCATTGTTTGAGCTGCAGGGTTCAAAGTGTGAGAAAAACACAGCGGCTTAGAGTCCGGAAATTACGGTATTTCAGTTTTTAACACAACTTGTAGCACTACTTAGACCTGCAGACCATTGCAGCTCACCTCAGTGTTTTTTTTATTTCTGAGCTTGTGCTTCTTTTCAGTTCAATGTCCATGTAAGCACAAAAATAAAGTTGCAAGTAATACCATATGTTAAAAGTTACCTGGTTAGAGGAAGTCCTGGAGTGTACCACTGCAGCACAGCCACCAAAGGGATTTCCAAACCCTATGAAGAGACATATGTTAACATAATAAACCTACCCTTCTATTCTACGTGACTTCACACATGTGGTTACAGGTGAAACTAGAAAAAAAAAACATGCTAGTTGAAAAACTTCTTATTTAAAACATATCAACCACTGAAATGTTATATAGTATTTTTTTTAAAATTCAACCACTGAAATGTTATATAGTATTTTAAAAAAAATACTATATAACTACTATAAAGTTCATATAATGAACTTTTAGTTTCAATTGACTCACAATGGACTTGGTGTGAAACCTGGGCGTGTTTATTTGAACACAAAGTTCTGACATATTTGCAGGAATTGAAGAAAGACACACACAAAGATATTCTAAAATCTAAGTCTAAAATCTAAGTCTGTGACTTATTTTTAGTTTAAATACCCATCTGCAAAGACAAATTATTTGTAGTAAATAAATAATGCCTTTTGGACCAAATATGTTACATTGAATAGTTTTTGGTTAGGACTTATTCAGAGGGATAATTTGGTGACTAATTAAGTGAAAAAGGACAAAAACAAATATGCTTTTCATTGTTACGTCTCACCTCACTGGAATCCTCCTCTGCCCTGTTTTGGAGTTGCAGCTTAAACAGGAAGTTCTGTTTCTCCAGGGCACTCAGGGTGCTTGGTAGATGTGATGACTTGCTGTCCATCCGATAGAATGAAGCCATGGTGATTTCGGATGACTTGTGGCTTTCGAAGGAAGAACAACAAAAGACCATGTATGTAACATGGTCAGAAGCATAACCTGTGACTAGAAGTCTAATATATTTAAATAATATATATATAATATATAGAATGGCATCCAGAATATATATACAAAAATCCTGAATATATATATACAAAAATATGAAGTGTATTTGACCACACTATCCGTACTGGTGCACAGCTTGCGCCTGCTACCACCGACCAGGCAGCACAGGAGATCCCCATAAAACAGCCCCTACATATGTCATGGTTATATTTGTTAAAGTATTACAAAAGAAAACAGTGAATGCTGTGTAATAGAAAATGTAATAAATACGTTAGAGAATAAGAACAGATTACAGTCATAAAATCATTAACGATCTAAGCTCACTGAATCACTGTGGGATTCAGAGTAACTTAATGTCAACATAAGAGAGATATAGAGAGATGTATATATATTATATTGTATATTCAATATTTTTGTATATATATTCAGACTTTTTGTATAAATATTCAGGATTTTTGTATATATATTCTAAAGTCTAAATATATATACAGAAATTCAAAGCGTATTTGACCACACCACCCTTATCGGGGCAGAGCCACGCCTGCTACCACCGCGGGCAAGGCTCCTGTATCTTGTGCCCACGTAGCGGGTCGTAAAAAGTATTTTAAAAAGTAACAGCAATGCGAGGCAAGCTGCTTCGATATAAACGTCTTTATTTATTCACTCTTCGCTGCTTCTCTTCTCCCCTTTTTTTCTTTGTTTTTTTACAGACTACGCTTCACTCGCAACACGGAAGAAAGAATAAACAATCCGCTACAGAACAACACATTTTCCGCGAGTCGACAAGGAACCTGTGAACAAATCAATATTTTAAAGACAACACAGTACACTACGTCATATGACAGCTATCAAACAAAATATCTTCAAATAAAAGTTAACATAAATCACTCTTTGCATTACTGTTGCTCTTTTACTTCGTCAGCACAATTGACAGTGTTATCAAATAACATATAGAAATAATATATTTCCAAACAAGTATTTATAACGAATTATAAGAATTTTTATCACCCTTATATTATCATTACGTTACTCTGAATCCCCCAGTGATTCAGTGAGCTTAGATCGTTAACGATTTTTTTTTTTTTTAACCGAAACACACATACACCCACAACCTACGCACTTTATGGATTTTACTGTCTGATAGAAAACATGCTTATTTTTTAATTTTTCCTTCTCTGAGAGACTTAAACTTCACGATTGCCCATGCGAAACATATATGTTGAAATATATTCAATTTTACAAACGAGGAAATATAAATAAATATATTAAATATATTTTGGAAATATACTTAGGAATTTTTTTTTTCCTTTTATATGCTGGATATAATTGAGGAATATTATCACCAATATCAGTGTATATTCAGGATTTCTGCATATATATTAAGAAATATATATATATATAGATGGATGGATGAATGGATGGAAAAAACTGACAGAGCCAAAGAGAAGGAAGACATCTGAAATATTTAATAACAAATACATGTGTACTTACCAGACGTTGTCAACAATGAGTACTGAACCATCCGGCATCATGGGGAGGAAGGAGGAGTTATAGTTAGGAAGGATCCTCATTTCTTTGATGCATACTTCCTCTTTAGAGCTGTGGTTAACCACTAAGAACAAAAGGAGAAGTTATTGATAAAGTATTATATTTACTGTCTTAACATCATTTCAGCAAAGTTGCTCATAGATCAAAACACAAAAATTAAGGAGTGACGTCATGCAAAGGTAAACACAATGCAGTATTTTGCACCAAGTACGTTGTTCATTTGGGCACACAGGATATAAATGTTATTACCTTTTTTTAAATCCTATTTTAGATTGTGTTTTTTTTTTTTTTCTTTTTACCAGTATTTCTTTGATAGGTAAATTCAGCACGTACTATTGCAAAATGAAATATTTTCTGCTGCTCTACCTTTGAGGACAGTAAAGTGATTTCCCGAGACAGTCATCTGCTGACAGTAGACAGTGGGAGGTGGAAGGACATCCAGAGTGGTGTGGACTAAATGAATAAAAGACAAAAAAAAACTTTATTAATGAAGATTTGTGCATTGGTAATGAAGACTTTGAAGTACATTTTGTTTTAAACACATTTAATACTACTCTTAATACTACTACATTTAATGATTCAGCTAGCCCAGGTGTGAGCAAACTCTTTTAGTCGCAGGCCACAATTGTCCTAAAAATGAACTCCAGTAACTTAGGTGAACACATTTATGTCCCCAAGAAGGGGTATGGCAGAAAATAATAATGAGAACCATTGCATTAAAGTAATGCAGTTACTTAATTCATCTTAATTCAAGCTTTTTTTAATGAATATAAGTTTTGTATTGGAGGTTAAAATATATATGAATGTCTGAATGTTTAGTCATTCTTTAAATGAAAAATTTGAATCTCAATAATCACAGGTTAGCTGCAGATTATTTACGAATCACAATTAAACCATTGGACCAGCTGGTGACAGGAATCAGCCAATTTACGACATGACTGACTTTGAGCGGTGACTGGCAGGATTGGCATCTGTATGTATCGTCGAGACAGTGTTATGGCTTAAGATGTTTGGATTAAATAATTTTAAAAAGTTTGATATGCTTCGAATTTAAGAAGACTTTGAATGTGGATGTTGCGATACCCTGAGCCTTGAAGGTCTTCAGGTCCTGCCTGAAGGTGTGTGTCGGACTTCTGAGCTGCAGTAGGGTCAGATAGCCATGTTCCCTCACTTCCACCTTCTCCTCGTCCTGCGTCCATACAGTGACAATGACCTGACACCAGACATAGACAGACACAATACAGCCAACAGTTACCCCTCGCTTCCTCGCGGCCAGACTCAAGGAGACATAACAATATACGTAAAATAAGACTATAAGGCAGAACAAAATATTACTTAAAATAAATTAGACAATTTGAATGTAAATATGTCTCTGCAAAACCAACATCTCTCGTGTATATACAGCATTTGAATGTGCATGTTGTACCCCATTGTGAACACTGGTCACTTCTGCTGCCGTAATTTTGTCCAATTCAGCGTAGTTTGGTTTGAAGAGAAAAAACCTGCACACCGTTGGACGTTTTCTGTTGTGTTCTTCTTTTGTGAAACACACCCGAATTGTGTCGTTTCATATCCTATTCGCCACCATAGCCGACACAAAAGTTGCTTTTGCACGAATCACAGAATACTCGTTTAAACTATTTCTTCAAAATTTCAGTTTTCGATGATATCAAATTTTCAAAGTTTTTGTCTTATGACTTCTCTTTGGTTAGTTACATCCTATCTTCCACCTTCTTAAACTTGCATCTTTCACCCATTCCCCTTTCTGCCCCATCCGATCCGATTTTAGCCCAGCTTTGGCCAGAATATTTTTGGCCGTTACATCCTATCTTCCACCTTCTTAAAATTGCATCTTTCACTCACTCCCCTTTGTGTCCCATCTGATCCGATTTTAGCCCAGCTTTTGCCAGAATATTTTTGGCTTCTCTGCTGAAAGCTGGACCTCACATTTACCAGCTGGTAAAAATATAAACATAAAATCTCCAAGTCCTATTCATTATGAATGTATCATTATTTTGTTTAATGCGTACTGTTTGTGCAGCCCCCTTGGTTGACTAGAGTTTTAACAGCTCCTGTATAACCAACTTACTCTTCAACATTACAGCGCTCAAACTGCTCTCAACTTTCACTCTCGTTCTCCCTCGTGTGTCCCATGCACATATATAAGCACACAGTCATTCACAGACAGACGTATGCTACTAGTATAACACATGGTAGCCTATCCAAAGTCATTGATCGCTAGCAGTATGCCCTTCGTTCGCCCGTAAAAATCCACAAATTAGCCGCATCATTGTTCAGGCCATAGGATTCAAAGCATGTGAAAACAGTAGCAGCTTATAGTCCGGAAATTACGGTAATAAAGTTAGAGAGACAAAGTTGAAAACACTGAATGCAGATAGTTAGAGAGACAAAGTTGAAAACACTGCAGATGCAGAGGATTCCATATGCAAATGATGGTCGGGATGGAACAGTCAGGCAGAAGGAAAAGATTTAGTATTTTCTATTAGAAAATAATGAAAAATAAAATAAAATGTGCACAATGTTCACATTAAAATAAAGTGCATGACTTGTCAAATACAATAAATACAACACATTATTTAAGCTTGGATTTCCAAAAATATCTTGACATGAATGGAGGAAAGTCTAAGAGCTATAGGACAAACAACATGCAACTGCAACTTCTACTAAACACAGCCAAACACCAAGATGCCAGATATCAACAATAGAGCCGAGAGACTTACTTATTTTATGTGATCTCACTTGAGATTTGAGTGGGTATGTTTGCTCAAACAGTTTATGTTTTGTCTCATAATGGAGTTTCACAGTGGCACTTTTAAAGTGCAAAAAGTTTCTGTGAATATGAGACACTGGTTTAGCGCTCCCTGTGGGAAGTATGAACACAAAGGAGTCTGTCCATTCTGGATTAAATACCCTATTGTCGCTGTTCACTTTTCTTTTTTTCTTTGTCGACTCACTCGTCCGTGTCTCTCCCTTTCTCGGTTTCACTCGTCCATGTCTCTCTCGTGGTTTTCGCTACATGCTACGCTATGTTTCAGGTAAAACTGAGTTATCCCTTAGTTATGCTGCTATAGGCTTAGGCTGTTGGGGGATCTCCCATGGTGCACTGAGCCCTAGGAACCCAATCCTAACCTATGTGTATAAAACAAAGTAGTAAAACTACATACAAGGACATATTGACATAAATTGTAATAATACTCACACCTAGATTTTTGTCCCTACATCTAGGAACTGGTTTTTATAAGGAAACATCAGATGGTAAAAAGTCACTAAATTATTATTAAAAGTTAGCAATGTCGAAGCATTTGTTAGCATGATAATCCGATAATAGGACAAAAGGCAAAGCAGGCAGAGGTACAGCTGAAAAAACTGAAGTCACCCTAAAAACTGCATGTCTGACCTTGGCTTTGAGTGTATTGACTGGCAGCTTGTCAAAAGAGACTGTAAGGCTGAAGATGACCTGGTCATCTGACACCACGGAAGCCTGTAAAAAGACAAGACAGGACACAGGCACAAGGCAGCATGGTAAATCATGAAAGTAAATATGATTTACCATCATATTTACTGGTAAATATGATGATAACTTTCACACATGTGCTAACTTTAAACTGCCTGTGATTTATTTATTTATTTATTTTTTTGTTTGTCAACAGTGTAAGAATATCAATATATATATATATATTATATATAAATATACATATTTATATATAAGAATCTCAAATGTAGAAACCTTCGATGATATCTTAAAACAGTGGTTTCCAAACTGGGGGAGCGGGGCCCCATTGAAGGGCACATAGTTATTCTATGGGGGACCATAGCAGGTAAAATTAATAAAAATGTTTTTATTAGTGCAACATTGGAAAAAAGCACTGATTGTACACTGTAATTTTATTTCCTTTTTTGGTAATATCATTTTTTTTACTACAGATAAAGGCTGGGAACCACTGTTTGAGAAGAGTTAATAAAGAATTAAAGCAAGCCTTGGCAAACTTTTTGACTCGTGGGCCACAAATATCCTAAAATAGAACAGGGGCAGGAGCAGACAGATGGAGCATTTGTGTTAATTAAGATAAATGACATGTTAAAGTCATGCATGAAGACTAAAATGCTTTTATCATTTTCTAAGCCATCTATTGGGAAAACGTGGGTATTGCAGGGAAAGGGCACAAGTATAGTGATAATATAAATAAATTACATAATTTGGGTGGTGCTTTGGCCCAGAGGCAATGTCTCTGTCATTGGTGTGGAACCCCAGGGTTCACCTCCTGGGCGAGTTCGAATCCCGGTTAGGGCGGTTAATAGCTTCCAGTGGACTCACCACCCGCAGGAAGGTTTGGGGTGCAATGTGATTTGGGTGGCGACTGCTGCCCCTGCGACCCGGTAACGGATAAGCGGATGAAAATGGATGGGTTATATAATTTGGAAAAGTTTGGCTGGCCGTATTTAAAAGCTGAACGGGCCGCATCCAGCCCTAGGGCCTTAGTTTGCCCATGCCTGCTTTAAAGGGTAATAGAAGAGATCTGTATAGACATCCTATTTAGGCTGAATGGTTGGTGTTGAACTGTATGTACCTTGACTGATTGTGTCCTACTTCGTCGACCCTCGTAGACCGAATTGTTGTGGATGAGCAGAGGCAGACACTGCGAGAATATCCGGGTCCTTCCCTCGCTCATTCTGCAAGGTTCAGCGTTTTCACCATTCTCTTCCCCGGACTCTTCCTCAATACTGCTGCTCGGTGACTCAGATGGACACTCAGCGACTCTGCGTTTGCGACTTTCGCCGACACACACACTCGTCAGAGCGAACATGGAACCAACCTGTTCCTTCCAGCTGTCACCACCGCTATCCCGAAACCGCAGCACCAACAGGAACTGTACATTAACCTCCCCGAGGCAGACGTGCCTCCGTCGCGGAAACTTTGTGTACTCCGTCGGGTCAGTGAGGTTCGAGGTTGGAGTAGAGGGAAAATACATGGAATAATCACACAATGACGACATGATCCTCGACATCGACCTTACAATGGGGAACGTTAGCTAACCGGTTCCTACTGTAAACACCTGCTGCATGGTAAACACAGTGAGTCAGAGTCATAAGTGTTGCGGCAATATTGCACCGAAAAATAATAAATAAAAAAATAAACACATGCTTTTAGAGCATCGTCGCTAAAGTATCTCAAACCTAACTGCATTATAAAGTCTTACACCCTAATGTCATTTTAATGTGTTTAAAAACGGCAAATCGAAGCATGCTGCGCATCATAACATATGCAGTCATTCTCTTCCGGGAATGGCAGCAAAAAGAGGGTTAAGCGATCCCCGACAGCGATCATTCGCCAGACTACACTAATCAATCATCGAGGGAAAGGACGCTACAACTATGCTTTACACGTGTATGACATCTAACGGCAGATGTATACCTCCATCTACATTCTCTGGATATGTGTATGTAACTCACTATTATACACACCATCAAGTCATCTACTGTTCTACTGCTCTATTTACTGCATTACTGCTCTATTTAATTACTTAACCATATATAAATACCATATTAAGTACTTACCATATATGACACACTGTACCCTCTTGTGTGAAAACCTACCTGGCAATTAAATCTTCTAGTAGACCAGGCATGTGCAAACTAAGGTCTGGGGGATGGATGGGCCCGTTCAGCTTTTTAATCTGGCCGCCAAACTTTTCCAAATTATATAATTTATTTATATTATCATTATACTTCTGCCTTTTCCCTGCAATACCCACGTTTCCCCAATAGATTGCGTTGAAAATAACAAAAGCATTTTAGCCTTTACGCATGACTTTTACATGTCATTTATGGTTCAATTTTAGGACAATTGTGGCCCGCAAACCATCAAGTTTGCTTACACCTGTACTATACAGTACTTTTTATTGTTATTTACTAAGAAGCTAATTAAGGGCAAACAACTTGATGTAATGCTTATATAATAACCATGTAGCTGGGACAGGTTTTGCTAATAGTTTTTTTCCCCCAAGTGTTACTTTAGCCCTCATCAGCTGCTGTAAGTAAAAATCACTGATTTATATATAGCGTAGAATACCTATTATTTTTCTTCGACCCTCTTCAAGACTGTATCTTTTTTCTTAGTAAAAATCACTGATTTATATATAGCGTTATTAATTATTTTTCTTTGACCCTCTTCAAGACTGTTTCTTTATTCTTTAAAACCACAAGACAAGTTATTTTAAAAATCTGACAAAAAAAAATCATTCAATAAAAAACAATTTTTATTCGATACAAGGAAGAGAACAGCTCAACTCTGTGTATGCACATTAAGAGTTTGGTCTAAGAAAATTTTAATCAATGGATTTATGCTGTTTCAAGTAATACTAAAGCCAGAGTACACTTTTACAGTTATTGAAACAAACTTTAGCCACTGCCTGGATCATGACATTTTAGCAAATGTTCCTAACATTTATCCTAAATGTAGCTCATAGTTGTGTCATGTTTATCAAGTGGAGTTTACTTAAAATGCTAATGCATGCGGTGACTCCTATTCAAAGGTGTGGTAGAGAGAAGTTGAGAGATTGCATTTAAGAAAAAAGTAAACAAAAAAGGTAAACATTGTTTCAGCTTTGTCAAGTAAACACGAGTAATGACTTCTTCTTGAAGGAAGAACTGTGTATGAATAAATGTATGTTGGAAAATTAGCACACGTTCACATGCTTTACCAGAACCTTTGTCACATGTTCTAAAAAAAAAATAGATTTGCTTCAATGTGCTTGAATCACTTGTAGGGTGCTGAGATGTTTACCTCAGTTTTGGGGGGCAAACGGCAGCGTATATCGGAATTGGAAATTAAGTGTTTGGACAATATTGGCATATTGGATATCGGCAAAAAGTTAACACTTATTTATATGTCAGTAATATATTCATACAAGTGGACCTTTAATATTTGTATGTGTATTTAGAAGTGTGCTGAACGGAGTATGTTTAGGTTTTCTTTTCTTAATGACACGTGACATGGGATGTTTCTATTCACACACGCACACAAAAAAACACTTCTTCAAAAGCAGCAATTAGCAGGAGATTTGTTTGTTAATCTGTTAACAATGCAGAATACTCAGTCCCGTCACGTGATACAATCAGTGAAACCAGTAAATCACAATAACGATTGAAAACCTGAACTCTAATTACTAACTGGCACCTTTTTTCACTAATATCATGCTAAATTCCGTTGTACTGTGATAGGCACACTCATTTAACCTCTACAGAGAGGTAAACCCAAGATAAATACAATATATACAAATGGCAAACAGAATAATAAATATGTAACAACATTGTTTTAAAGCCCCGTTTCATAACTGGAAACCTTGAGGAATAAAAAATGTCCCAGCATAAGTGAGTCCCCAAAAAGCAGTGTTTCTCCTGTGGTTTGTCATGAGGACAAACAATTGCTTGTAGTCTGGTAATTCACTTCCCCTGACAAAATACTAGGGATGGCTCAATCCAATACTCATCTGACGCTGGTCAAATTTAAGGATAGGACATTTTTGAAAAAAATCTATAGCCCATTCAATTTCGATACCTAAGCCCAAATGCTCAATTTAACTTTGCGCCATCAGATTGATATCAATATCTGCAGATACTTAAAGTTGCAGTTTTGGTATTGGACATGAAAATGTTGTATCAAGCCTTCCCTACCAAATACAAACAACTGCTACGAAAAAGAAATAACAATGATTGGTGCGGCTGAGGAAAATAAAACCAGAAGTGAAACAAATACATCCTGCCAATGGTGGCGCCAAAGGAAAGTTCCAAGAGGGAATAAAGAGAATAAACTGAAAATCATTCTCACCTGTCTGTCTTATTACTTTATAGAATTGAACAAAAATGGATGTCCAATAATATCAGCCAACCAATATTATCGGCCAATATTAGCTTAATTATGAAATGCCCAGATAATGTGCCCTAAAATAGTTTTGATGTGAAAGTGAAACTATTACATGTATTGTGCACTGTATTGCCATTGTAACACAGTACACCACTGCATACAATGAAATGTGTCCTATGCCTTTAACCCGAATGGCTGCATATATCGGTATCGCTGGATATCAAAATCAGAAATAAGTACGTGTTAATTTATATTTGGACAATATCAGCATATCGGACATCCATACAAAGAGTTCCATAAGGTGTGGCCTATAAAGTTGACTCCAAGTTCATCATTTTGTTGTTTTATTTAGCCTCAGAATTATCTATGAGACACCTTTCTATTCGTGTGAATTGAGACCAGTCTTCTGTACATATTGTACACAGTTAAAGGCGACACGGAGAAAATTAAGGTGTAGAAATTGAACTCTTAGGTTAAGCAGCAGCCAGGACCATATAGTCTGGGATATAGATTTGTGTTGTCAATTACATAGTACGACAAGAAATTATGATTAATTATGATTAAAACAAAGGTTGTTCTCCTGTCCAAATTGTACGTCCAATTACTTCAACTTTCAAAGACAATTTACAGCCTGAGACCCATGTAATAACGACCTTTTTACTGTTTGTCATCAAACAATACTTAATCCAATATTCTACTCCCACCTTTCTAGACTGATTTCACATAACTCGATAAGCCATGTGCTTTTCATTTACAGCACCTATACTTTAAAATACCGGTACAAGCTAATCAATGACGCATCTGTAATGTGAGAGTAAGCGGTTCCATTACTCTTTCACGATAAAACCCACTTCCGTCTTGAAAATACCAATTTAAATTACATATTTATGATTTAAATTTTAGGCCTATTTTGACTCATTTGCATGCTAACTTGATAGTATTGCAAGCCACTCGACAGACAAATATGTCGATGGTAGATTCAACGGGAATCAAGGAACCCCTTACTTTCAAGAATGGTGATGTCAGTAAATCTACCAAAGTACAGTATCTTCAACACTTAAATAATGACAGTCCTTGCCAAGATCTATCCATAGAAGCGTTCAAAAATCATTTTAAGTAACCGTGGGAGGAGGTTGTTTTTCTTCTTCCTCCTGTCAGGGTGTCAGACAAAGGTAAAGCTTGAGTGTGTCAAATATGAATTGACTGGCCAGAGTCTACAAAAGAAAAGAGTTTACACTTTAGAACTATTTGGTTTGAATTTGGTACTGTTACGCTCTGTGGTCCATACTGGACAGTGATTTGTATCTTGGCAGTCCATTTGAACCCACACAAGTGTGCCATATTTTTACTGTCATATATATATTCAAACCATATAAAGTTAATAATAGAGTGAAGTATTAATTAGCCAAAATGGGTGGCGCATCCCCTGCAGGAGGCGCAGTGCCATTGCAGGGCCGCAGATGGTATAAATGAATGAAACGTAACAAGACTATTATGCTGTAAATGTTCTCTCACTCTCGCCAACTGACCAAAGTTGGCAATGCTAGCAAATGGAGACGTCTATGGTGCGTAAAAACAGTTACATTTAAAATGTGTGAAATAAATGAGCAAATTCTTCTTATGAATCAGGGGGGCAAGAGGGTAGAGAAATTTTTGGATGCCACTGCATTAGCCCTTCAAATCACGTTCAATTTATTAATTTCCACAATGTTTGAAGAGTTCTGGAACTAAAGAACTGAACTAAGTTCTTCTCAGAAGAACTGAAGAAGGCTCTTGGATGAAAGGTGAAACGTCTTCTTTAAGAAAATTTCACATCCAGTTGCCTAACAGAACTCTTCAACCTTGACCATGACCTGGATGAGAACTGAGAATCTTCATAGAGAAAACATTTGCCCATGAAATTCAACTTGGCCTCTGCTAATGAAGGATCATGGGCCTCAAGGGAATACTGTGTGTTTTGTTTTCCTTGACACTGCAAACAACAAATCTTAACTTTCATTTCCTGATAAGTGAGAAAATTAGTTTGCAGGCATCACTTGCAAAATGAGTGGCAGGAAAAGCAGTCTAGTGCACAGTTAAAGGAACATGTGATACTCGAGAAACTACTATTAGATCTTCATTATTACTAAATAACACTTGCATTCTGGATTAGAACACTGGAGTAATGTTGTGAATTTTGTTATAAGCTTAATGTTGTTTTTTTTTTTTTTGAAGGACCGTTTGCAGGTGACAGGGAGGGGCTTCCAATGGAATATGGCACACTGGACATAAGTGTACCACTGCTGTAATGCTTGAATGATAACAATCCTCCAGTCACTAGGTGGCAGCAACTCATACAGTGGTTTGTAAATATACATAAACGTTATCAAGTTTTCAATAGCATGTAAATTTGGGGGGTGTGGGTCAGGGGAGAGTGGGTGGGGGTAGCGTGAAAACATTTCTGTCCCCAAGAGTTTAATTGAGAACCACTGATATAATGCTTGCGTGAAGTGTGCAACTCCAGGTAAATATCAGACAGTACGTTAAAGACAGATAACAGCAGAGAATGTTCCTTTATTTGTTTCTCAAAGGGTGTGGAAATACCGTGTATTGGTAAAGAGCAAGTGGTTAGTGGTAGGACTGAAAGATCACTATGTATTGCATGTATTGCTACCAAACAAGTTAGAATCAGTGACTGTTCTTTGAGGCACAAAGTGTGTTTTTACGAGATCTTGCAAAAGAAATTCTGAGGTCAACATTAAAACAATCTAACGTAAGATTTTACATAACTTTTAGAAAGGGAACAAAAAAGGAAAAAAAAAAACAAACAAATCATGTTTAGGCTTCCTACTGCAGCCATTAGCTTTTTCAAGTAACCAAGAGGTTGGAAAGTCAAGACACCTAGTTTTAGTGCAAAAGAGGATGTTTGTCCTTAACAGACTGCAATTGGCTCAGCTTTCATTTCTTTGAAGTAGCAAATGTAGGAGGGAGACTTATCTTAATTTTCCATTGACATGATTTCTTGTTAATGTCTGGTTGCTCCCAATTAATTTGCTTCCATCCCAGTCTCTCCTTGCCTCCTCTACCATCCTGCTGACAAAACTTTCTCTTATCTTGGATGAATCTTGTCTCACCGCAGACAGGGGCTGTTGGCCTGGGTGGACTTGGGTTGTTTTGGATCGAGGGAACTGTTTAGCATCTAACAGGTCCTTGTACTGAAGCTCGGGCCTGATCATTCTCAGGCAAGCCATTCTGGTGTAATTGTCCAGCCCAGTTTGGAGTTCGTAACCCAGAATCTTCTGGAATCCACTTTGGAATGGTCGGATGTTTTTATCACGGATCCGGTGTGCTTCTACAGGTTTTCCGCCGTCCCTGAGACAAACCCTGGCAAGGTCTTCCCTCAGCATTCTCAGAAGAGCTACTTCCTGCTTCATCTCAACCAGACCAAACCTGTGGATTTCCTCCCAAAAGGTCTGGTTTAAGGCTTTGTAGAGATACCAGTCCATGGCGTTCCAATTCCGAAGCTTCTCCCGCTGTTCCTCTGTCAGTGACAGTCTGGGTGGTGTCTTTGTTAGTGATTGTCCACCTGTGACTTTGACACCAGCTGCAGCTGCAGCTTTACCCACCCAGGTATCGCCAATTCCCCCAAAGCTGACAGTTCTTTGCTGGCGGGCATTGAGGCTAAATGAGACAACAGCCTCTAGTGGCCAACACAGGGCGTGTCTCAGTAGAATCATGGACTGGTCAAAGTACTCAGCCACCAGAATGAGCTTGAAGGTCCGGCGTATGGTATCCACGCCTTGCCGAGCAAGTTCCACTGAGAAATTTAAATTGTTGTCCATGCCAAAGTCAAACCACAGGGGGTTATGGGCAAAGTGATTGTTGCGGAGATGAGGGTCGTAAAACTTCACAGGGTCATCAGCAAATTCTCCCATGCTTTTGGCCTTCTGAAAAGCAGGAGCTACTGATTTGTAATAGGCAAAAGAGGACTCAGCCAAAGAGACTGGGTCCCGGATGATAGAAAAATAAAAGGTGTCTGCCGGCATCACCTTCTCCACCTAAAAAAAAAGAGTAAGACACAAGATGTGTGAATGACCAGCATCAGACTAAAACTGTAAAATTGGTTTTGAGTCATACAGAAGTAGTGATGGGTGATACCAAACGTGAGTCATACAGAAGTAGTGATGGGTGAACTTTTTGATTTGATATGATACTGATTATTTTTTTGGCATTTTTTTTTTTTTTTTTGCAATACCGAGACCAATATCAACACTTTGTATTTGTTTTAAAACAAACAAAATACTGGTCATCCAACAACTTTGGTATGTATTTAACATATAATATATTAGTCATAACAAATAACATTATTTTATTTTGACACAATGTAACATAAAGAGTTTAATAGCGTTTTACGTTACTAAGGTTGCAGCACAAAAGCATGTAAGAAGTACGTTTTAAGTAAGATGTGGCAATGACGTGTGCCTTATGTGTGTAATTTCCGGACTATTGAGTGCAGGGAAGTTGGGGTCTATTCTTAGGCACACCAAGCTCAAGAGAACATAAACAGTGTATTGACAGGACTCAAACTGCTCTCAACCTTCACCACGGTTCTCTCTCTGTTGCACCCCACCACATATACGCACACAGCCATTCACAGACATACATACGCTTCTAGTATAGCACACAGTTGCCTACCAGAAAAGTCATCGATCGCTAGCTGTATGAGCTTCGTTTGCCCGTAGAAATCCATAAATTAGCCACATCATTGTTTAAAAAAAGTAGGGCTTATAGTCTGGAAATTACGGTAACTGTAGCACACACAAAGTAATAATTTAATTTACTCACCTCAGGTTTGTTAAACCTCATATGATGGCCCATGATGTGGAACTCAATGGCCCTGGGACCCTGGTATCCTTTGACTCTATGGGCAACAAAGGAATGAGGATAACCCAGCTGGTAGTCCAGGGGGAGAGCAAAGCGCAGGTTATGTTCATCTCCAAAACGGTACAGCAAGTTCAGCACAGTGCTGCTGGCTGTCTTGTGAGTTTTGAGAAACATGATGTGCGTGCGGGGCTGACAGGAGCCGAGCGATGGCCCCTGAATGTCCGGAGATGAGAAAAGGGAGTGAGGGACTGGCTGGACATTACTGGAAGACAGAAAAGGAGGATCAGAGAGAATACATACAATTACATTTTTATTCACACTGTACACTGTGTGTACGGTTGTTGTTTCTCTGCTGATACATCATGTGGTATTCAGCGGTTTTATTTGTTTTTCTGAATCTGTATACAGCGTTCCCTCTCTATATCGCGGTTCTCCTTTTGCTCCCTCAGTACATTGCAGATATTTTCTTTATTCCAATCTCGTGAGAGTTTTGTTGTATCGCAGTATTTTATAATAAATACATTTTTACTCCCTCCTGCAGCTGAGCGCTAACCTCTGCCGCGCCCCCATGGTTGTGTATTTACGTAACATATATTTTCTTATATTTGTCTTATATTTCCCTTATGCAACTCTACTGTGCATATAATTGTGTGGGAAATGGTAATACGTACAGTCTAGGAAGGGTTGATAACAGTGTGGGGAAGGTTTGTAAAGGGTAAATATATATACGTAAATATATTAATAATAACTAACTCGCCCCTTCTTCGCGGATTTTCCCTTTTTTGCGATGGGTCTTGGAACGCAACTACCGCGATAGGAGAGGAATCACTGTATTGACAGAAACATTGAAAGAGATGATTTAAAAGACAGTAGCGAGACATCTATGATGTGAGGTTTAGAGACAGTGGCTCTAATAGACAAAAGGCTGAGTTGGGGGTGGCTAATATAAAGATGCTAAGATTTTCCCTGGGAGTGACCAGCATAGACAGGATTGGAGAGGTGAGGTTGAGATGGTTTGGACATGTGTTGAGGAGAGAGTGAATATATCCCATAAAGGATGTTGGAGATGGAGTTGCCAGGCAACAGGAGAAGAGGAAGAAAAAAAGAGAACATGGAAAGAGTTTAGGGCAAGGGTAGAGGAGGCAGGGGATAAGAAGATAAAAGTTGTTGCTAGTAGTTGAAACCAATTTTTGTTTTATAAAAAATAATTATAAGGAATGAATAGTTGAGTTCAGTGGCCCCTGGGGTGGATTCAGGAGTCTGTGATATATTCCTCTGAGTGATGGAGGATATTTTAAGCTTTTAAGTTAATTTTATGCATATTTTTCGATTGCAGCTGTAAATCAAAATTTGGATTGAGACAATATCAGATGATGTAAATGTGCATGCAGATCAACTGTGATCTGAAAGGATCAACACACTACTAGTGTGTTAGGCAGCTTCTTTACAAATTTGGACATTTTACAGACTGTCCAAAGTCAATATTTGAGAAAGAAAACGGTTATTAGGGAGAAGCAGTACTACTGAAGTAACCAAGTTTTAAGGTCTGAGCACCAAACACTGAAGTAACCAAGTTTTAAGGTCTGATCACCAAACAGCCTTCTGAGTCACTGAACTGTAGAAAGAAAACACATAACACTGGTTGACCGTTCAGTCTTTTTTTAGTACTGTAGGTACTAGAACAGTCCAGGACTCAAACTCCCATAATTCCACTGCTTCCGGTAAATCCACATACGCCACGATCAGTAACCTACGCAACCTTTAAATTGGGGGGTCAGCCCCAATTTCACTCTCTCTGTTCAGGACTTTTCCTCTCCGTGGGACCCCTGATGAAAAGAGAAACCTGCTCGTCTCAGAAGACTAAGAACCAACGCGTTTTTGTAGACACCATTGCCCACGGTGATAAATACTCTAGTAGTGTCTTTTTCTTAACTGAGTTAACCGGTAATAAGTTACACAAGTAACGTAGCGCTGCGACCAAAGCAGTTATTGGAAAGTTTAGAAGCGACAGGATTCCTTCTAACGGTAATCGTGTGAACCGGCACATCGACAGTCAGAGACTTTTCCTCCCGGAGCGGACTTTCGGAGCCAAGAGGACTCTCTGGACACAGTGGAACCAGGCGGACGTCCCCAACTCTGGCAAGGACCCAAGAAGTGCGGACTTTCCCCTACCCTCTAAATACGAGCAGATGTTCACTACAGTAACGTCTGCTTGTTACTAAGCAATGAGTAACGTTACTCGTTAGTAACGTAACGAGTAACGTTAGTAACGTATAATCTTTTAATTATATGTTACTAATGTTACTCGTTAGTAATAATCTTTTAATAATATTAAAGATTATTAAAATATTAATCTTTAAGAATCTTTAATAACTAAAGATTATTAAAGATTAATCTTTAGTTAATCTTTAATACTAAAGATTAGCAATAGTTAATCTGTAGTATTGTTAAGTGCTATTTAAACTTAGGGACAGTTTAAGTACGCATATTGAATTGTGTTGTCTGAAATATGTGCTGCTTTTATAGCTAGGCTGTTGCATACACTTCTTTTCTAACCTCCTGACTCGGTGTTATACGCTTGTACACCGTCAGTATTTCAGTGTTAACTTGTAACGTTATCAGTATTGGGATCAGGAAAACTCCGACAAAGTCCTTTGTCTTGAGTAGACCACGTGGTACGCCTCCCTTCCCCCATATACTTTGATAACATCACAAGCACTGTTTCATTGTACCTGAGCGCATCTTGGTGCGCGTACAAAACACCCTTTCACACCTCCCTTACACGCCTCACGTGTTTCCTGTTGCCGTTCCTTCTACCTCGCAGTTCTTCTTCCACTGCGCAGTCGCGTATGTGAACACGCCTCAAGGGCTCAGTCGCTTGCTTGGTAGCTAAGAGGCTACATCTCTCTCTCTTTCTCTCTCTTACACGACCACTCGTGTACACACGCACACAAGTACACACACACCTACACACACACTTGCCTGTTTTGTTGCCTTGTTTTGTTGTTATGATCATTGTTTATGAGTTCAATCACCATCACCGTCATTTTAAACTGTGTTTGTGTTGTTACTTTATTCATTGAAGCCACCCAATTTGCCAAGAACTCTAAAAATCCTTTTTGATTGATTGTACTATACGTGTAATACTCCAAGTAATACATTATTGCTATATCAGTAGGTTAACGTAATAATTAAAGATAACTTTATTGAGACTGATGTTATTAATTTGAGACTGGTTAATAACACCAAGTGCTCCTAAGCATCACTCGACCCATTGCACCTACAGTACTAAAGAGCCAAGTAGAGTTTTCAAACTTTATTTGTTCCTGAAAGCCGTTCGTGAACCAAAAAGTTTGAAAACTTAAACCATTTTCCCTAAAGGAATCAATGGAAAAAAAAAATGATTATTTCGTTCCTAAACCCCAGATTGATTGAAGTATTTTGTGTACAAGTTTATACACGAAACCAATGAAAATAAATAGCTCTAACAAAAAAGATAAACACAACTGAATAAAGAATAAAGCTATAAATTGGAAATGTATTTTATTCATCGGTGCCGAGGAGTCGTGATTGTGATGTTTGCTTTGCTTTCTCACTAATTATTGTCTTCGAAAAACTGTCGCTGGCCAACTGCAATTTTTCAAACCTATTAACTTCCTATGGAAATTGGAAGACAACATCTGAGCTATGAGCTTGCATCTGCATATGTTATCACTAATTAGCAGCTGCCTACATACAGCTGTTTGTCATCTGCAAAGAGACACACAAGGATTTCTGGGTATTTCCAAAGATTGGTGGTTAAAATTGCTGGCAGATTTTGCAATCACATTATGACAGTGGGTCAAGATAAAAAAGGAACTCCTTGTTTCTTGGACATGGTTTTTGCCCCCCTTTTTTTCACTACATTTATTCAACGTAATTCGATTACGTATGACGTACATACCAGAGATAAACACACTTGCGTTTGTCTGTGATAAACATTGCTGACCCATCGCATGATTTATCTGTTTTATATTATCATTTTTTTCCCGAAATATAAAAGAACACAGGTCAGGTGATGTTAATTTATTGTGACACTAGCGTGATATAGCTGCTGAAAGTCTGCAGCGCTTCTCTGTGGTGATTTATTCACCATATTTTTTATTTTTCACCCTGTTTTTTTAATTGTTTTTGCTTTTTTTTTTTTTTTTTTTTTTTAGCATGCTTCCTACTTTAGTTATCATGCACTTGGTTAAACAATAAATCAGCCAGGAGTGACAGCAAAGCTAGCGTTTGTCTGTGATAAACATTGCTGACCCATCGCATGATTTATCTGTTTTATATTATCATTTTTTTCCCGAAATATAAAAGAACACAGGTCAGGTGATGTTAATTTATTGTGACACTAGCGTGATATAGCTGCTGAAAGTCTGCAGCGCTTCTCTGTGGTGATTCACGTGATTCATGCTTGTGACCATTGTGTGTTTATGTGTGTGTGCTTTTTTTTTTTTTTTTTTTTTTTTAGCATGCTTCCTACTTTAGTTATCATGCACTTGGTTAAACAATAAATCAGCCAGGAGTGACAGCAAAGCTATCAATTGTGCATGGACCTTTTTGATAGAAAAAATAAATCATTTATGACTCGATAGATCGATTGATAGGTAGATAGATGTTTAACAAATTGAATTCATTATAGCTTTTTACATTAATTAATCTCAATGAATCACCTTTAGGTCACATACTCATATTTCACACAACAAGAAATAAACTTTTTTTAATTCAAACATATTTTGGTAGAAGACTGAATAAATAAATACGTAATATATACAGAACCTGTTAACATACAACTTATACTAAAAAAAGTTCGAAATTCCAACGTATGGGTTAGGGTTATGATTTTTTTTCAATAACATATAGTACTTTCAAGTACAGTCCAGTCCTTTTTTACAGATGATCTGGAAAAAGTTCAAGCTGCATTGCAACTACCAGGGCAATTTTCGTATTTTAGTTTAACACCCTTAAATATCAACTGCTAAGATTTAGAGTTGTATGTAAAAGTTCTTGGCAAACTTTACCAAGCACATAATTCACCTAAAGTAAAGTCAGACCAATAGATTACAGAAATACTATATAATCCCCTGTTTCTCCATACATTTATTGTAATACAATTATTAATTACTTGCTGTTTGCGTGAACAATCACAGTAAATCTAGATCAAAACCAAATCACTGGATTCCGGTGCACCTCTGGTTATAACAGCAACAAAAATACCGAAGGATACATACCTTTTGTTGAAGATGACCCCCAGCAGCTGATCAGCAAACGCTATGGCCACAAAGAAGAGCAACGCCTTCAACACCCACGTTGGACCCACACGACCACAGAAGAGCCAGCGCAACATCCTAAAGAGGAAGGAAAACAATTCAATGGATGCAAAGGGAAGTCATAAAGAGACATAAGATATGTGTGTATATTAGGGCTGGGCGATATGGACTAAAGGTCACATCTCAATCAGGCACACGCAGCGGTCACTCTGCATAATATCAAAATGAATAATGAATAAAATAATGAATAAAATAAACATATTTTTCCTGTATGACAAAAATGTAGAGTAATTGGTTCAAACACAGACGCTATACAATATTATACAGATGTTATACAAGTTATTCCCACATTCTTTGTATTTGTTTTCATTTATCACATTTAAAACATAATGAGTAGGGATCGGCCCGATATTAGCATAACTATGTAATATCATTATCGGTTTTTCCTCCAATAATGAAGACCCGATAATGCAATGTCTTGGTTTCGCCAAATGATGTGTGCCCTAAAAATAGCTTTGGGGATAAACGGCTGTAGATTACCGTGAAAGTCACTAGATGGCAGCATTGCAGCTCATTTAATTAATCTATTTTAGTAAGCAGGGAATTGTATGAAGAGTATTTCATACAATTCCCAGAGTATGAAGTTTGTATTGATAAATAAATAAATAAATAAATATTACCCAATGCCCAGTGACTTCAGAGGTGTCTGAGCATGCAACGTGGTCACCTCAAAGAATCTTTTCGGGCAGCATGCGCAACTTGTGCTCCACCATTTTGTTTTAAATAGTAATGTTTGCTATGATGTATAATTGGACGATAACTGTTTGTAGGGCAAACGTCAGTTCTCTTCTTCTCCAGTTTATTTGAGTGCCAAAGCAGTAAGCAAAATAATTTTACAAAATAAAAACCAGTGAGCAACAGACATTTGCAATAACAAAATAAATAATAATAATAATTATATTATGTGTAGTATCTGAATGAACCTAGGAGCTATGTTGTCGGGTGCTTAATGCCCCTGGTAGGGTCTCCCTAGGCAGGTATAGGGGTGGGGGGGTCCACCCCCCCCCCCCCCCCCCCCCCCCCCATTGAAGAAAACCACAACACCAAAGAAGTTAGACCGTAAAAAACTATAGGTAGGAATAAACTTGAGAACACCGGGCTCAGCCCAAACAAGCACGTAGGCCCACCACCCGCAGGAAGGCCCACAAGGGGTCGGTGCTTTGTGATTTGGATGGCGGTTGTGGGTGGGGACCCTGACAGCCCAATCCCTGGACAACCACTCTGGCTATGGGGACATGGAATGTCACTTTGCTGGGGGGAAAGGAGCCTGAGCTTGTGCGGGAGGTTGAGCGATACCGACTAGATATAGTCGGGCTCACCTCCACCCACAGTCTGGGCTCTGGGACCCAACTCCTTGAGAGAGGCTGGACTCTCTTCTACTCTGGAGTTGCTCGCGGTGAGAGGTGGTGTGCTGGTGAAGGCTTGCTTATAGCTTCCCAGCTTGCCAGTCGTGTGTTGGAGTTTTCC